TAACCCTTCCTATAAATCTTGAGTTGGCTTGTGAGCGGCTTGTGTTCAGCCAGGCATACGGTTGCTTGGCAGAGCCCTGAGTTTACAACAACTCCCCCGTTGAGAAGGAACAGAAATTTCGTTGGTTTTGGTGACCCAGAGAGGTTCCCTGGAACTTTTAAACCAGGGGTCTCCAATCTTGGCAACTTTAAGCCTGACGGACTTCAACTCCCAGAATGCCCCGCTGGGGCATTCTGGGAGTTGAAGTCCGCCAGGCTTAAAGTTGCCAAGGTTGGAGACCCCTGGTTTAAACACTTTTTTAAAAAGAAAAACAAAAATCTGTGTCTAAATGTCCCCGGAACCATTTTTTTTTTTTGTTTACTAGAAATGCCGAAGGGAGCAAGTTCTCCAGGGCTGAGTCTAAGGGGCAGGTCATGTTTGGCCCTGTTGGGACTGGAGTAAATGGGGATGGAGAGATTTTTCCCCCCATAATCATCCCAGAGCTTACAGATGTTTCTACAATCCTAGAACCGGGCATTCAGTTCAGGCCAGCCTGCTCCTGTTTTGATTGATTTCAAAAGTGGGCATTGGGAAGAGTTTGGAAGTGGTGCGGGACAGAAAGTTTGTAAACGTGGTCAGATCCTCTCCTCTCCTCTCCTCTCCCCTCCCCTCCCCCCTCCCCTCCCCCCTCTCTCCTCCCCTCCTCTCCCCTCCTCTCCTTGCCTCCCCTCCCCTCCCTTTTCTCTTTCTTTCTTTCCTTCCTTCCCTCCCTTCCCTTCCCTTTCCTCTCCCCTCCCCTCCTCTACTCTCTTCGCCTCTCCTCTCCTCCCCTTTCTGTCCCTCTCTCTTTCTTTCCTTTCCTTCCCTTCCCTCTCCTCTCCCCTACTCCCCTCCCCTCTCCTTTCCTTCCTTCCTTCCTTCCTTTCATTCTTCTTCCTCCTTCCTCCTTCCCTTTCCTTCCTTTTCCTCTCCTTCCCTTCCCTTTCCTCTCCCCTCCCCTTCCCTCTCCTCTCCTCTCCTCACCTCTCCTCCCCTCTTTCTTTCTTCTCTTCCTTCCTTCCTTCCTTCCTTCCTTCCTTCCTTCCTTCCTTCCTTCCTTCCTTCCTTCCCCCCTTCTGTCTCCTTCCCTCTCCTTCCCTTCCCTTTCCTCTCCCCTCTCCTACTCTCCCCTCCTCTTCTCCCCTCTTCCTTCCTTCCTTCCTTCCTTCCTTCCTCCCTTCCTTCCATCCATCTTCCCCCTTCCCCTTTTCCTTCCCTTCCCTTCGCTTTCCTTTTCAGAACTTAAACACTCTGTTTCTTGCATAATCTGTCTTCAGTTAAAGACTGATGATCAGAGCTGGGAAATCAGCCCTTTCGTTACAAAAGGAGACCATGAAAAGGATAGTGATTGCAGATGGTTCCGTTGGTGCATCACACACATTGATCTGGAATAACTCCCGGTTAGCAATACACTCACTCTTGCTCTCTGTGACTCAGTTTGGAATTTAGACCCCTTTGCCACCCGTTCTTCTGCCTCTCCTTTGCTTGGATATTTTGGCAAACTGGGAAAAGAAGATGCTTTAAAAGCTGGCTGGGCAACCTTCCTCCCCTGTGTTTATTTACTGATTTATGTAAGCCCCGGAGGACCGTTTCAGCCACACAGCGGAAGCCTCTGCAAGAGTCAATGCTGCCATTCTAATCTGCAACAAAACAAAACAAACACACATTCTGCTGAAAATAATAGTTTTGCCGCTCAGTTTCAGCAACCCTGTTCTAGAGGGCTCTGTGAGTTTCACAAACACAACTAGAAAGTTCATGTGATTCTCAGCTATCCTTGTTGTTGTTAGACTAGGACTAGGGGAGACGTGATAGCAGTGTTCCGATATTTCAAGGGTTGCCCCAAAGAAGAGGGAGTCCAGCTATTCTCCAAAGCACCTGAAGGCAGGACAAGAAGCAATGGGGGGGAAACTTATCAAAGGGAGAAGCAACCTAGAACTAAGGAGAAATTTAGTGACAGTGAGAATAATTAACCGCTGGAAAGGCTCGCCTCCAGAAGTTGTGGATGCTCCAACACTGGTGCTTTTTAAGACAAGATTGGACAACCATTTGGAATGTTTAAGGTCTCTTGCTTGAGCAGGGAGTTGGACTAGAAGACCTCCAAGATCACTTCCAACTCTGTTGTTCTGTTCTGTTCTGTTCTATTCCCTCTTCTCTTCTCTTCTCTTCTCTTCTCTTCTCTTCTCTTCTCTTCTCTTCTCTTCTCTTCTCTTCTCTTCTCTTCTCCTCTCCTCTCCTCTCCTCTCCTCTCCTCTCCTCTCCTCTCCTCTCTCTTCTCCTCTCCTCTCCTCTCCTCTCCTCTCCTCTACCCTACTCTTGTCTACTCTACTCTATTCTTCTATCCCATTTCTACTTTCTATTCTGTTCTGTTCTGTTCTGTTCTGTTCTGTTCTGTTCTACTCTACTCTACTCTACTCTACTCTATTCTTCTATCCCATTTCTACATTCTCTTCTCTTCTCTTCTCTTCTCTTCTCTTCTCTTCTCTTCTCTTTCTCTTCTCTTCTCTCTCTCTTCTCTTCTCTTCTCTTCTATTCTATTCTATTCTATTCTATTCTATTTCATCCCATCCCATTTCTGTTTTGTTCAGAATTAAAAAAAAAAAAAAAGCAAACGGAAAAAACCCAATCCCCAAATATATTTTGCCTACCATGGTTACTGACCGTGACTTAAATTTCTTCTTCATTTGTTTTTTTTTTTCTTCTTCGCCTCCTGCCTTTTCTTTTGCAGACTGGCAAATCACTACCCTGGTGTTAATCCTGACAGCTGCCACCATCACTCTGCTGTCGTTCCTCATGTCCCTGATAGCCTTCTGCCTGGGGAACTATAAATTCTATTATCGGATAGTGTCGATTCTTCTCTTTGCAGCAGGTAGGTCTTCTCATTCTCTAGCCTCTCCCCCACCTCCACTCCCTTGGGTAAACATTGACGCCTGGGCCAGTGGTTTTAACAGAAGTCGTTTCTCCTATCGTTCTATTGATCTAGTGGTTCTCCAGATCTGCGCCTTGATTCTCTACCCCATCAAGTTCATCGACAGCAGCCCGCTGAGAAGCTACCATGAGTTCAACTGGGGATATGGGTTGGGTTGGGGTTCGGCCATCTTTATGCTGGGAGCAGCCATCCTTTACTGCCTACGAAATGATGTCTATGAAGACGTTTACTTCTAGGGCAACTTGTAAGAAGGTCCCTGGATTATCAGATCTGGAAGGCCTCTTCAGTAAACAAGAGAGCAACAGAACAGGAAGGACGATGGGATTCATGGGAATTCTGGGCACATTCAAGCACATCATGGATGGACATTTTAACCAGCCTCTCGCCAAGAGGTGAAGACGTTGAAGGCCTTCAGTTGGACACTCTTCCACCATCACCAGGACTTGTCGCTGCCAGCCAGCCGCACTCCGCTCCAGCACAACCTGCTTAATATTTCTCGTGTATTTTTTCTTTTTTTAAAAAAAAAAAATACTATTTTTCTTTACTTTGATCTTCTATGTATGAAATTTTGTCTTTATTTTATTTATGAGAGGGTAGTAGCTCCTACGGCGAAGAGCAGCTTGGCTTAGCTTTTATTGAGTGGCGTCGTGTGCAGATCTTGAACGCAAAGAAGGGAAGTTGTGTGAATGGAAGGAGGTTCTGTAAATGCATGGATGCTAAATCCACTTGGTACCGAGAAACCCAAAGCACAGAAAATATACGAGTTTATGAGCCACTGATGAATAAAACCATGGAAGAAATGAGATGGGTATCTTGCATACTTCTATATCTACCGGTATATAGCTGTTCTGACCTAGGCTTCCTGAGACAGCAAAAAGCACACGATTAGTCCCAAAAACCCTCTTTTTATTTCAATAGCTGTGAATTCTGTTCATTCACAGCCCATGTTGAGTCACAAATAGTTTGTAAATAGTCCGACAGAAGTCTGCCACAGTCTTTCGGGATAAGGCTGATGAGCACCCACCTTTATCTCCCTTGAAACACTGCCAAAGGCCTAATTGCCAATTAGTTTTGCATGGCCATACGGAGCACAGAGTCAAAACAGAGCTTCAGAATTTAAAACGAATGAACAAAGTTGCTTCCTGCAAAGGCTCACGTGCCTTTGTTCCTCCTTTATGTCTTATGGGAGGGGCCAATCATCTCCAAGCCTTAATCCCGAGTCACCCCTTTTGTCTTAACTGTTCTTGCTTTCTGGCAGCTCTGCGGATGTGTGCACTGGAAACAGGCTCCCCCTGTTCCTCCGCCTCACTGACATTAGACTCTGGAGGCTCCAGAGTCAGCACATAACTCCCAGATGGCCCTGTCCCCCTCTCTGCCTCTGATGCAGAGCCCTTGTCCAAGCCTTCCCCAGACTCCAGGACTGGCCCATGTTCCTCCCCAGCCTCCTCACTGTCCAACTCTACTGCCAGCTCTGCAGGTTGCTGGCGGACCACAACAATAGCATATCTATATCTATATCTTTATGTTTATATATCTTCTTCAAGGTAAGAAAGGTGGGTAAATCTCTGTGTGCATTTGTGTGTCACTGCAGCACTGTCGAACTGAGGATCCTGTTCATTTTCCCTGCATTTGCAAATGTGAAACACTTCACATACACACACAGAGGGGTGAAATGTTACCAGTTCGAACCGGTTCGACCAAACCGGTAGTAATAAAAGCTACTGGTTTTGGCGAACTGGTAGTAAAAAAATGCTACCGGTTCAAACGAACCGGTATTTCCGATGATCAGCTGTTCCACGCAATTTATATTCACTAGAAAGCAGGAAATCCTCTTCTCTTCTCTTCTCTTCTCTTCTCTTCTCTTCTCTTCTCTTCTATTCTATTCTATTCTATTCTATTCTATTTCATCCCATCCCATTTCTGTTTTGTTCAGAATTAAAAAAAAAAAAAAAGCAAACGGAAAAAACCCAATCCCCAAAATATTATTTGCCTACCATGGTTACTGACCGTGACTTAAATTTCTTCTTCATTTGTTTTTTTTTTCTTCTTCTTCGCCTCCTGCCTTTTCTTTTGCAGACTGGCAAATCACTACCCTGGTGTTAATCCTGACAGCTGCCACCATCACTCTGCTGTCGTTCCTCATGTCCCTGATAGCCTTCTGCCTGGGGAACTATAAATTCTATTATCGGATAGTGTCGATTCTTCTCTTTGCAGCAGGTAGGTCTTCTCATTCTCTAGCCTCTCCCCCACCTCCACTCCCTTGGGTAAACATTGACGCCTGGGCCAGTGGTTTTAACAGAAGTCGTTTCTCCTATCGTTCTATTGATCTAGTGGTTCTCCAGATCTGCGCCTTGATTCTCTACCCCATCAAGTTCATCGACAGCAGCCCGCTGAGAAGCTACCATGAGTTCAACTGGGGATATGGGTTGGGTTGGGGTTCGGCCATCTTTATGCTGGGAGCAGCCATCCTTTACTGCCTACGAAATGATGTCTATGAAGACGTTTACTTCTAGGGCAACTTGTAAGAAGGTCCCTGGATTATCAGATCTGGAAGGCCTCTTCAGTAAACAAGAGAGCAACAGAACAGGAAGGACGATGGGATTCATGGGAATTCTGGGCACATTCAAGCACATCATGGATGGACATTTTAACCAGCCTCTCGCCAAGAGGTGAAGACGTTGAAGGCCTTCAGTTGGACACTCTTCCACCATCACCAGGACTTGTCGCTGCCAGCCAGCCGCACTCCGCTCCAGCACAACCTGCTTAATATTTCTCGTGTATTTTTTCTTTTTTTAAAAAAAAAAATACTATTTTTCTTTACTTTGATCTTCTATGTATGAAATTTTGTCTTTATTTTATTTATGAGAGGGTAGTAGCTCCTACGGCGAAGAGCAGCTTGGCTTAGCTTTTATTGAGTGGCGTCGTGTGCAGATCTTGAACGCAAAGAAGGGAAGTTGTGTGAATGGAAGGAGGTTCTGTAAATGCATGGATGCTAAATCCACTTGGTACCGAGAAACCCAAAGCACAGAAAATATACGAGTTTATGAGCCACTGATGAATAAAACCATGGAAGAAATGAGATGGGTATCTTGCATACTTCTATATCTACCGGTATATAGCTGTTCTGACCTAGGCTTCCTGAGACAGCAAAAAGCACACGATTAGTCCCAAAAACCCTCTTTTTATTTCAATAGCTGTGAATTCTGTTCATTCACAGCCCATGTTGAGTCACAAATAGTTTGTAAATAGTCCGACAGAAGTCTGCCACAGTCTTTCGGGATAAGGCTGATGAGCACCCACCTTTATCTCCCTTGAAACACTGCCAAAGGCCTAATTGCCAATTAGTTTTGCATGGCCATACGGAGCACAGAGTCAAAACAGAGCTTCAGAATTTAAAACGAATGAACAAAGTTGCTTCCTGCAAAGGCTCACGTGCCTTTGTTCCTCCTTTATGTCTTATGGGAGGGGCCAATCATCTCCAAGCCTTAATCCCGAGTCACCCCTTTTGTCTTAACTGTTCTTGCTTTCTGGCAGCTCTGCGGATGTGTGCACTGGAAACAGGCTCCCCCTGTTCCTCCGCCTCACTGACATTAGACTCTGGAGGCTCCAGAGTCAGCACATAACTCCCAGATGGCCCTGTCCCCCTCTCTGCCTCTGATGCAGAGCCCTTGTCCAAGCCTTCCCCAGACTCCAGGACTGGCCCATGTTCCTCCCCAGCCTCCTCACTGTCCAACTCTACTGCCAGCTCTGCAGGTTGCTGGCGGACCACAACAATAGCATATCTATATCTATATCTTTATGTTTATATATCTTCTTCAAGGTAAGAAAGGTGGGTAAATCTCTGTGTGCATTTGTGTGTCACTGCAGCACTGTCGAACTGAGGATCCTGTTCATTTTCCCTGCATTTGCAAATGTGAAACACTTCACATACACACACAGAGGGGTGAAATGTTACCAGTTCGAACCGGTTCGACCAAACCGGTAGTAATAAAAGCTACTGGTTTTGGCGAACTGGTAGTAAAAAAATGCTACCGGTTCAAACGAACCGGTATTTCCGATGATCAGCTGTTCCACGCAATTTATATTCACTAGAAAGCAGGAAATCCTGCTTTCTAACGAATCTAAATCGTGCGGCACAGCTGCTCCCCACCCTCGCTGTTCTACATACCTTAGAAAAGGCTTCTTAAGCCTCCTTTTTCAACGCTGCACGGTAGCGCCTGCGGTGTGCATGCATGCGATGTGCGTGTGCAGCGAACTGGTAGCAGACTTCAGAGCATTTCACCCCTGCACACACGGACACATACATTGTCATTCAGCTAGTAAAACAATGAGTCCTTCTGAATGTAACGGCACTGGGACTTTTTCTCAAATATCTTTCTCTCTCTCTGTGTGTGTGTGTGTGTGTGTGTGTGTGCGCGTTCATGTGTGTGTAGCCAGCTCTTATCAGATTGAGAGCTTTTTTCCAGTTGCTTTTGTCCGAGTCTTTTTGCAACACACTGACAAAAGAATGTGTGATGGTGTTTATATACTGTCCTCTCTACTGTTGTCCTCCGAGAGCAAGATGCTGACCTGAGAATGTTGTAGGGGCCCCTGTGCCAGTTTGTCCTTCTTGTCCTGTCTTCAGGTGCTTTGGAAAATAGCTTGACTTCCTCTTCATTGTGGCAGCCCCTGAGATATTGGAATCTGGAGTGGGTTCACTTACCTTTACTACCGGTTTGCATCATGCCCGTGCATGCGCAGATCATTTATGATGACGTCCGGGTCAGTGGGCTTGCCGGTTTTACTACCGGTTCTATAGAACTGGTCCAAACCTGGGGCAAACATACCCAGTTCCTGCAACCGTTCTTCATACGTTTTAGCCTCCAGTCCCCTAATCATCTTTGTTGCTCTTCCCTGCACTCTTTCTAGAGTCTCCACATCTTTTTTACATCGTGGCGACCAAAACAGGATGCAGTATTCCAAGTGTGGCCTTACCAAGGCATTATAATTATAATATATATGCTTATAATAATTTAAAATTTATATATTATAAAGAGGAGGAGGAGGAGGAGGAGGTGGTACTGAATCTTTGGAAATCAAGATTCAGCTTTTCTTTCCTGCTCTAATTTAGCTGAGAATCTTGTTTGGAAAATGAAGGGCAGGGACACTGCCTTAACAAGCTTCCTAAACTCTTTGAAGGATATAAATTAACAACTTGATTGAAGGGCTAATACGTTTTTCCATTTCCCTTACTTTTCCTAACTGGAATCTTCTGGGGTGGTTTTAATCAAACGCAAGGCTTTGAAATTTTAGATCAAGCCAAATCAAAAGCGTCCAACCAACCACATTCCAAAAAGTGCTTTTAAAGATTGTTTTGGGAAGAATTATAAAGGGATTGCTTTTAATTATTAGAAATAATTAATAGCAGGGAGAGCGGGATTAATAACAACAACAACAACAACAACAACAACAACAATAATAATAATAATAATAATTGATTAAATACAATCACAAAAATAAGCTAGACAATTAAATGCAATACGAATGTGATACTAGCTAGTGTTGATAAAGTTTGGCACACGTATCAAAGCAGTGGTGGGTTTCAAAATTTTTTACTACCAGTTCTGTGGGTGTGGCTTGGTGGGGGTGGCAGGGGAAGAATACCGTAAAATCTCCATTCCCACCCCACTCCAGGGGAAGGTTACTGCAAAATTCCTCCTGATCAGCTGGGACTCAGGAGGCAGAGAATAGATGGAGGCGGGGCCAGTCAGAACTTTTACTACTGGTTCTCCGAACTACTCAAAATTTCCGCTACTGGTTCTCCAGAACTGGTCAGAACCTACTGAAACCCACCTCTGAATCAAAGTAAATAGTTTCATTTTCAGCAATGATTTGCAGAGCCCTCTAGAGGTCCTTAAGCAAAAGCTCGATTCCTCACCCTCCGTTTTTGCTATGTAGGAAGTTAGCACCCACCCCTCTCCTAGAAGAATGAAATATTCTAGGAAATATTAAAAAGGCAGAATATTATATTTCCCTGGATGAGAAATGAAGAAACACGTTTTTTAGGCAGGAAGCAGACTCACGCTTAATAGCCCCCAGCCTCCTCAATAGCCCATAGCAGATGTCCTCACTTAAGAGATAAAGAGATAGCTAGGTCTATTCATAAGCAAATACCCTCACCCAAGATCCAACAAAGATAGGATTAGCCCTCTACCAGTGATGGGTTGCCCCTGGTTCGGACCGGTTCACAAGAACCGGTAGTAAAACCGGCGTGAGGCCCCACCCACTGCCCCGGATGTTGTCATCAGCGATCTGTAAGTAGAACCCAACCCTGCCCTCTGCCCTCTACCCATCTAGCAACAGAACTCACCCCATGGCATCTGGGGAGATTACATCACCCAGCAAAGCTCAACCAAGCTTGGGACTCAAAAGACAACCTACAAAAGACAACCAAGCTTGGGACTCAAAAGACAACCAAAGTTACCCCTGCATGGCTCCGTGGGAGTCTGACAACCAATCAGAATACAAGCTCAGATTCAAAACCCAACAGAGGGTATAAATCTCTCTCTCTCTCTCTCACCCGTGTGCTTTTTCGCCCAGGACCTCAAAACCATGTAGTCCTGTCCACCATTAAACCATCTTTTCAAGCATTCTCCATGTGTCTTTCTCCCCACTTGGGACTGAACCCAGATGGACATTTCTTCCAACAGCTTGAAGCCTTTTGGTTCTTTTTATGGACACAGTACCGTGTTTCCCCCATAATAAGACCCTGTCTTATATTTTTTTGAACCCTGAAATAGGCACTTGGCCTTATTGCCATACACTCAAAAGCCTGATTGGGCTTATTATCAGGGGATGTCTTATTTTGGGGGAAACAGGGTAGAATTAAGTGCTGAGTTTTCTACGCAGTGCATTCAATAAATCACGCATAATATTGAAATCCCTATTTGCAGTTTTACAGCGGTATCCCATTTGACGTGAAAGAGGGGAAGGGAAAATCAATTTAGTTTTAACCCTGGTCATTTGTTCACAAAATAACAGAGTGATTAAGATGCCTCCATAACGAACACATTTTAAGCAATCCATGATCTCTGCCTCCCACAGAGATGGCTATCACTTCCCAATCCGGATTCATGCAACACCTTAAGCTCAATCGTGTATTTAAAGTAGGCACAAATGTCTGTTAATCTTGATGGCTGTTTATTTCCTGGTTCCCAGGCAGCTGTAGGCTATATACGGTAGAAATTACTATGAGGGAGCAACAGCAAAAGAGATTGATTTTTCTCGTCTACCGATATATGGTTGTAAGTGGATTTTTATTTCAACCATAGGAAACGGCAAAGTTCAAAAATACGTTACTGCCTATTAATAGAAAAGGGGTTTTCTAATCTGGATATTCGTGACCTGAGATTAGAGGTGTCGACCTGGCTCAAAATAAATATTGCAGCATGCTAGATATACTGTACTGGGATGAAAAGTATTTGCAGAGTAACACGGATCATCTATTTGCTAGGCTCGGATTCCCAGATTTCATGTTGGGAAGATCTGGTTGTTCCTCAGAAGCTTTTCTTCCCAGCCCATCAGATGGTGCCCTACAAAACTTTAAACAGCTCCTTCTGATTTTTGTTTTCAGAGTTATCCCTCTCTGGCTACTATTGTAGAATCTACTAAGAGTATATAGGAAGAAGTTCACTCAATGCTGCCATCATGTGGCTGAACACCACCAAACTCATAATGTGACCAAAAACATTCATGGGATGTTGTGAGAGTAAATGAGCAGGGATGGGCTGCTGAGGGTTCGGGAGAACCTCTAGCTAAGATTCTGTGCAGTTCAGAGAACCCCCAAATCCCACTCCTGGCTGGCCCTGCCCACCCCACCCCTCCCAGGAGTCCCCACGCAGCCCATTTTGGATGCAGGTAAGTGCAGGGTTGTGCACGGAGGCTCGGGGAGGGCGAAAAATGGGCCTACCGGAAGTTCGGGAAGGCCGGAAACAGGCCTCCAGAGGGCCTCTGGAGCCTGGGGAGGCCGTTTTTGGCCTCCTGGGGGCTCAAAGAAAGCCTCCGGAGCCAAAGGAGGGCAAAAATGCCCCCTCCCCCGCC